TATTTTGGCCAAAAGTTTATATTATAGCATTTTAAAAAGAAGAAGAAGATAAAACAATAAGAAGAAATAACAAACAGTATCTTGCACTGAGGCAAATACTTCAACACTCTTTTACTTTGTAACTTGTTTTTGCAGACAACCTTCTATATTCTTTGACCAATATTACTGATATGACAACTGTAGCTTTTTTTTCATTTTTTTGATAAAAAAGTGAGGATTCTGCCTCATCCTTAACAAAGGATCTATACTTATATTACATTCTATTTTGAGCAAGTCATGTCTTAATTGTTTACAAGTTGATTAACATACATAAAGCCAATATGAATTTGCTTAGTAAATAGAATAACAGCTAATAAGAAGTTATTCACAAGATTTATAGTATATATATTAGTACTATAAATAATTTTTAATTTTTATATTTTAGCATAGACTATAATAGTTTGTTCTATCTTAATTATTTTTTTTTCTGCTTTTTTTTCTACTTTTATTTTCTTTTTGTACTTTCTTTTTTTTTATATTGGCAGTAGTTATTTCTACCTTTTGTTACTTTTTCCTTTATTTTTCTTGATATTTGTTTTTTTTGTTAGTTAGTTAAAACTTAATTTCTTTAGCTCAGAAAGCTAGAAGAAGAAGATTAGAGAATTAGATAATCTTGATAAAAACAGTATATAGTAATCTTCTGTTGATTGATTAAACATAATCTTGTTTAGACAAGTTATTCTTTTGAGAAGAAAATTAGCTATTGTAGTTAGATTGTATCTAAGCACTATTATAGTATCTGAGTAAGTCTAAACTTATATAGAAAGAATAATTATATAGCTAGCTTTGCTAAGTTTATATTTTTTATTATAATATTATTATATATTTTCTTTCAATAAAAAAAGAGCAAGATTGCTTAAGTTCTAAAAAAAAAAAAAAAATTTCTGTTAAAGTAATAAAATTAATTTCACATTAATTTTTATTAAAATTGAGTTTGAACTAACAATTTGTCATTGCTTTTTTAATATACTATATTACATATTTTATATTCAATTCAAAAAAAAAAGAAAAAAAAAAGAAAAAAAAAGAGAAAAAAAATAAAAGAAAAAATTATATCTGTATACCCTTGATACTTTTTTTTAAAGTCTTATACTTATATAATATCATTATATATCAATTATTCCAATAAATACTTTTAGTATATATTCTTATTTTCTAAAAAAAAAAAATAGTATCAAACAAATAAAAATTTAATATACCTTCATCACTATATATATTTAAAAAAGAAAAATCACTAAGTCTTTCAATATCAACTTATATTTCTGAATTGAATACACTAACTGAAACATATACAGAGAGATGAGTCTTATCTTCAATATAACCAAGTTATATAGATATTACTTAGTGAAGTGCTTTTATTGTATAGCTAAATAGTCAAGAGTGAACTAGTAAAACTTGAAGCTCAACTTTTACTACAGTGTTCTAATATTGAAAAACATATTAGATAATTTTATTTACTTCATGTAGCTTGTTATAATAATTTAGAAGAAGAGCAATCTGAACATTTAGAAAACAAAAATCAAATAATCAGCATAATCTTACAAAATATTTTTCACAAAAAATTAGAGATAGCTTGTATTAGGAATAAATAAATACTATAAATATTGCATTATTAAAAGCTTTTGTAGTATGTAGGATTTTATTTTTAATAATTAAAAATTCATATTTTATTAATTTGCTTCAAATACTATGTTCAGATTATAAACTACTATCAAGAAAAATTCTAGCAGGACAATTATTAGATCAGGAGTACTCTAAAGCTATAATTAAATATGAGGCTATTTTATATAAATCAGATAATCTAACTATCAATATATTGGATTTGATAATTTAATTTATAAATTATATTATATTTTTTTTACCCAATTATATTATATTTGTTATAGTATTAGATAAGTAAATATTTTCTAATAGAAACTTTATATATAGTTTTATTATGTTAATACCTGTGCACAATAAATATTTATATTCATTACAAGTTTTTTTTACAAATTCATATACTATTGAATTTCTTGTAGAGAAAATTGATAATATTTTAGATAAATTAGATATGATAAAATCACAGTAATTGTTATGAATAATACAAGCAATATAAGGCATACTTACAAATTATTTATGAAAAACATCCTAAGATTTTAAATTTAAACTGCATTATATATTGTATCAATTTCAGATCTAAAGATGTTTTCAGTAAGTAATAAAAAATATGTTCAATTATTATAAAACTATTACTTATTATTGATATATTTTTTTTAGAATATTTATTTATTTCATGTTTCGTAAAAAGATGTAATAAAATCATAAAATATTTCAAAAAATTATTCTAGCTAAATGCTTATTTATAACAAGCAATTAATGAGTTAAATATTTCTGATAATAGATTAAAAAAATTTATTAATACAAAATAGACTTCAGCATATGATTGTATATTATCTGTTAGTTAACTTGAACATGCATTAATTAAAGTAATATATTACTTTATTACTGTAATGATTATAGTTTATAATAATTAATAACTAAGTTTTATTTTATAAATATTAATATACAGATTATAAATAAAAATCCAAATTTAATTATAAATTATAGTATTAAACAAATTTTAAAGAAATCCTATTTTTTTCAGATTTTAAAATATTAGTTAAAATATTATATTCAATTTGAACTATAATTATGAATTTGGAAACTTAATTGACAACACTTGCAGATTGTTTTATACAATTTGTTAATTTAGTAGCTGCTATTAAAAAACTATTAAGTTTCTGAATTAATAGATTTAAAAACTATTGTACAAATGTTTTTAACAAATAATAGAATGATTTTAATATAGATCTTTATTTGTTAGCTTACTTTTTATACCTAAGTTATTATAGTATATTATATTTTTAAACTTTAATAAATTAAGTATTCATAAGTTAATATAATTTTTAATTTGGAAGAAGCTGAATTATATAAAAAACAATTTTATAAAATTGCCAAAACTGCAATTTGAATATAGAAATATGAAGAATATGACTAATACAAATATGTAAGCCTTGTTAGTTATATGTATTTATTTAAAAAAAAAAAAAATAGATTTGACTTACCTTATAGTTTTGAAACTGATACTTTTTTATTATTGTAGATGCAAACTAAGCTAGTTTTAAATCTATAAGACAACTTGTAATAAAGGTATTTTCAATTATATCATATACTGCTGAGTGTAAAAAGATATTTTTATTATTAGAATAGATATATATAAAACAATAATATCAACTTTTTTTATTTCAAATTTAAGAATTAGTATAAGTTCAATCTTTATATATTTCAAATATGAAGAAAAAACTTGCTTTTTATAGTAAAATACTATTATCAAATAAATTACAGATACAAGTAGTAGTCTTGTAATTTTAGTATAGTAGTTAAATTGCCAGACCACTATGCAGAGACCTAGAGTTCAAATCCTACTATAGACAAAATTTGAATTATATCTAGTCTTTAATCTTAATTAGTATGGTAAACTCTGCTTGTTTTTGGAAGTTATAACTCTGTAAGTTAAGTTATATTAAATTATCAGATATTAGTAGTATGATGAAATGTTTGAAGAGATATAATATTATATAAATAAATCTTGATAGAATATATGAATATGAGAGATCTGCATAATAGAAATTCTGAGTAGATAAAGTAGTACAGCCTTTAACAGTCAAGCTAGTTAAAGCTTAGTCTAGAATAAAACTTAGATTTTAGAAAAATACAAAACAGGCTAGATGTAAGTAAGTCTAATTTACTAATTAGCAATACCAACTTGGCATAGCAGCTAACTGAATTTGGAAAGATCTGATTTATGAAACATCTGAATTGAGCTAAAGTAGATACTAGTAGAGAGCTATAGTAAAAACTAGAATTATATAAATATTAACAAAGGTAACTATAATTCTTCTAATTAAGTAAGGTTATTACAAATATAGAGAGCAGATCAAAATTTATAATACGCTTGTAAAAACTCAAAATAGCATGATATACTAAGCTAGTAGTAGTAATACAAAATACAAAGATATACCAGTTCTTCAAAATACCAATTATATAGTAGTAGTATATCTGTATTATAAAATCTATGGCTAGAAGCAACTTATGTTGTAAAATATATTTTGGACTCTACTAATACATAGAAGTATCTATAAATAGAAATTAGTATATATACAACTAATTTCTGATATTACATTTAGATGAGTCTATATTTTAAAATACTATTATTATAGCAACCAAACTGCACCAAATTGGAAGTAGCTATGAGGTTATGAATACCTTATCTAGTTACTAATTTAGGAGTTATTTATAAGAAGTATGAGAGATACAGTGAATACAGCATAGTAGTCATACTTGAAAAAAGAGGTTATAGGAATCTAAATAATATATAGTTGTGGGCTATAGACTACTCTAATAGGTCTTGTATGGGATAAATAGTGTATATAAATGCACTATATGTCCTAAGCTTAATTTAGTAAATGTAGATTAGTTTGAAATTATAATATAATAATTGTAACAGATAATTTAATTCACAATAAGCAAATTGAGCTAAGTACTCATCTTAACATCTAAAAAAAAACAAGTACAAATAGTATTAGCAACTTTTCTAGTTGAAGATGATGAAGGAATTATAGATAATTTTGAAGTAGAAGAACTCAAATTAAATAATTAGAAATAATTAAATGATTTAATGTTGAAAATATAGTATGTTTAAATAATGAAATATTTCAAAACAGTGAATTAGATATTACTTTATAGAAACTAAGATTGTATATTTATATGATTTTGTTCTTCTAGTTTATTTAATAAAGTAATACTGCCTCATTTAGTGAGTTTATTATAAATAGCAAATTTACTTCTGGAGCTATCACAGTCAAATGTAGTATGATTTTCCGCCTGCGCAGCGGCCCATCCCTAATTGTGTGAATTGCGGATTTAAATTTTATAATGTTTTATTCATCAAGTGATAATTCTCTTGATTAGTTTATTCGAATTCCGACTAATTAAATTTTTACATCAAGATTGTTGCAGATATTTGTGCTTTAATACTGTAAAAGTTCCAGCGTAACCAACAATCGAGGTCGCAGTCACATGATTTTAAATTTAAATTATATTATCAATTTGTTCGATATATTAGTATCGGCATTGTAATTAAAATTTATTGACCTCGATTATTATTTACGCTAGAACTTTTGTGCTTTAATTATATTGATATTGATAGTATATCCGATAATTCAGAAGAACTCTAATCTAATCTATTTCGTGCTGAATTCATATATTAACCTATTTATCTTGACCTGTAATTGTATATTAATACGTGTTTCGTTTCTGGTTATGCGTGTAATATCTAGTAAATTATTGGCATCTCACAAAGTAATTTGTATAAATTAAATAATCATGTAGCAAAATAGCATTCAAGATAAAAACTACAATTGGAAATTCTTTGGATAAGCCTAATAACATTACTTAATATTTTCACATGCAGAATAAAATGAAGAAAGCATGCATTAATATTTTTACATAATAAGAATTACAGCCATATATCATTTTATCTTAAGATCTTCAAGACAATTTGATAAAACTTCTCTAAACACAACTAACAAAGTTTTGGCATCATTCATAAGTTTAACAACTCGGACGTTGTCATAAACCCTATGCTCTATTAATATATTTTGATAAAAAAATTACATTAATAACTTGTATATTAAATAAATAGAACACATTTATTGTTACCCTTAACATCCCTTACCATCTTATTGTTTCGCTTATTAACTGAGCCGTCTATATGATGAATTGACTGATGGTTTATGGTGTTGTTCATTATATATTGATCATTATTGCAAAAACAAAAGTCATTAGAGTTATATCCTGCGGCAGTAATAGTATTTTCTCGAAACAATAATTCACGTGAGCAATCTATTGGAAATCAATGTATTATAATAATACAAAAAAAAAAAAAAAAAAAAAAAAAAAAAAAAAAAAAAAAAAAAAAAGACCCTAAACGCTGTCTTATACTCAGCATCTATCAGCACTAATTGCCCATACTTAAACCTTGTCTGGATTGGATCATACGACTTGTCAGGTAAGAATAAATTTTCTCTTCCTTTATCATTACGATCTTTGCTATTATTTCCATTTTTACTATTTTTATTAATATCATCATCATCGATATTTATTTCGTCTAGTAAGTCTGCTACAGTAGATGATTGGGTCTTTTCAAGACATCCTAGTCTTTCTTCGGACAAGGCATCAGATGATTGGGCCCTTTCAAGATGTTCAGACAAGGCTTCAGATGATTGGGCCCTTTCAAGACATCCTAGTCTTTCTTCAAGCAAGATGTCTTGAGATCTTTGAGCAGAATTTTCTAAAATATTAGCAATAATTACTAGCTAATATTCATATTATAAATAATAAAGTCATTATTGCTTACCTTCTCTCAATGCTTTTCTTTCTAAAATTGTTA